AACTAGAATAAACATCTAATGAACAATCAACCTTTAAACAATTTACAGAATACAATCTCTTTCAACTTGAAAATCATTAAAAGCTTTACTTTAAGTTCTTATGAGAGTATATTTAAGACAAACAAACAGAATAGGACTGTGCCTGTATGGAGGCCAAGCTAGGATTAGAGTGCACATAAGAGCTAGGCAGTGTGCAGTCTGAGCTGGAACTAAGGGAAGCAAGAGGGCGCCAACAACTGCCCGGGAAGCTTTGGAAAGGGTATCAGCTTTTTCCTAACAGGGCCATAGATAAAATTTTCAGCCATTGTTCCACTGTTCTTCACTTGTAACAAAAAGAAAACATTATAGCTGTCTTTATATAACAGAAACTTCACAGGAAGTCCAAGGAGTGTTTGGCATTTCCTTACAAGAGCAATTGTAGAGGAAAGAGTCCAAATTAGAATTTAGAGAAAGCTGCAAAGACAGGGAAAAGTAAAGTCCCCAAACATCAATTAATTGGATGCTTCTGTAAGCCCCTCTCCTTCAGAAGGCTGTCAGGGAATGACCTTAGGTTCAAAGTGTCAGGAAGGTACTTCTCAAAATCCAAGTAAGATCGTTCTTACACACACCTTCTAACCAAATGTCATTACCACCTCATTAAAGATAAAGATGGTTTATGCTGGGGTCACTCATCTTTTATTTCGGCTAATTAAGTACTATGTTCAGAATTCTTACCTCATCTGCAGCTCTCCTGTACAACTGCTTACTTACCAATCTCTCAACTTACTTACTATTTTTAACAATAACATCTACAAAATCAGTTCTGAGACATTAGGGTTTTTTCCCCCCTTAAATCTAAGTTAAAATAGAGAAAACTTCATTCTATTTATACATGCATGGAATATTTTGGAGGCTTGCTTTCTAAATGTTCCTCTGTTTACCAAATTATCTTACATAAAGGATGACACCAAAGTTTGGGATACTAACTTATTACATATCGTTTTGTTTACATAATCGCTAAAATCTGTGAGAATTAGAAGGGAGTAACTTAAGAATTGGCTGCATGATTGTGATGTAAAGGGTGGAGTCAGACTGACTGAACTTAATTGACCATATTAATTGCAGAGTCCAGAGTGGGAGAAGACTGAATGAAAATAAAGGAAGAGGGTACCGAGGGCTACCAGAGTTGATTGTGATGTTTTGTCAGTACTGCCTACCTCATTAGCAGTACTTGCTGCTTGCTTCTATTGTGGGCACCTGCACCACACACTTGAGGTGTGTAACACCTCAAGCTCCACAACAGAAAATACCCACAATTAGAGAAAGAGGCTGTAACATATGTGGGTACCATACAGTTCAGACAGGTGAGTCTAACTTCCATTTCACAGATGAGGAAACTGACATTTGCTCAAATTCACCACTAGTATATGGCAGGACTGATACTTGAACCTAAATACCTCACATCTCTACATCACTGTGCTATACTGGCCTCCCCAAACCAGGAAAGCAACAAGCAGGAAAACAACAACAACAAACAAACAAACAAACAAACAAAAAACAGTCATACCTGTTTTTTTTGGCTTTTGTTTTCAATTTAGACAGTTTCACAAAGCCTCCCCCTCCCCACCTGGTCTGAACTCACCCCGTACCAAGGCTGCCCTTGAACTCCTGATCATCCTGTCTCTGCCTCCCAAGTGCTGGGATTATAGGCTTGCATCATAACACCTGGCTTATCTGATCATTTTAAAATAATAACAACAAGCAGGGACAATTCCTTTGAAAGGCAACACAATATGGCAATTAAAAAGTCAAATTCAGGCTTGGGAGATGACTCAGTGGCTAAAGCACTTACTATGTGGTCATGATGTAACAGATCCCTAGAACACAAGTAAAGAGGAGGAAAGCCAGGTAACCCCAAAAGAGAAGGGATCTCCCAGGCAGGATGGCTAGCTGGAGTGGCAGGAATTGGCAAGCTCCAGGTTAAAAGACAAAACAAACAAACAAACAAACAAAAACCACAAAAAGTCTCAATTAAGTGGAGGGCAATCAGGGAAGATACTGGAAGTTAACACCCAATCTTCATACAGAGTGTGTCAACACACATTTGAATATACAGATACACATGCACGCCACATACACAGTAAGTATAAAATTTAAAAATAAATTAATAAAAAGTCAGATTCCCAGTCTGCCCGGATTTAAATCCATGCTCTACCACATACCTGTCTCATTACTTTAAGTTTTGCTTTTCAAAACCTCAGTTTCCTATGGCTACAATAAGTGGTACCTATCTTACAAAGCTCTTTTTAAGATACTGATGGCCTCTGCCTCTGCGCTCATAAAAAGCACTTGGCACTGCCTGTAATCTACTAAAAGTTCTCTTTTAAGTATTTTGCTATGCGTGCTACTGACAAGTTGCCTAACCCTCTTACAGATCAAGCACTTCATACATCTCATGTGAGCCTTCCAGGCACCAGTGAGGTTGGGTATTAGTTTCATTTCGCTTTGGGGGAAACACATGTCCCAAAAGTTTAAGTCATTTTTTTCAACCGTTAGACTAGTAAGGGTCTAATTCTAACAACTCTAACCAAGCTTATTAACAACACGGAGAGGAGGTATCTCTCTGACAGGAGTTTCTCTTCATACACCAACCTAAAATAAACGTTAAGCAGTCTCTAAAAATTACAGCACTAAATTAACGTGATCGTCTTAAGTGGGAAATGCCCGATGCCTCAATAACTTTGGACACGGTCCCGGGTGTCAGATTCAGTTCTGAATCTTCTTTTATACACCACAAGTTCTAGGTACTGCTTCCGACACCACCTAAATTCTTACAGCGCTGGCGAGTGAGGGGGTACCAGTAACATGGAATGTGATCCCGTTTTTAATATGAAAATGGTTGTTCACCCATCAGCTGGGATGCTATCACGTCCACGGTGGCGGACACCCAGGCTCTGCCTTGAGTTAAGCACGAGAGGGGCGGGTTCTGAAGAGCTGCACTCGCTCCAGGTGACGGTGATCCCGGAAGCTAAGCAGCAGGAGACCAAGTCTAAAGCCGCTTTCAATTGTAGAGGGATTCAAGCCAGCCACAGCTCGGCCTTCTCCGGAGACTCCCCACTTGTGGAGCCCATTTCTCAGGTCTCTCTTCTGCAAAGTACCTTTAAACCAGGGCCTCGCGGGGTTCCCCAGGGCCAGCGTGAGAGATCTCCAACTGCAACGCCCATCCAGACTCCACGAACCGCAGGGTACAAGCTACCCCGCCGAAAGGAGACTAGGAATGCCACCTCAAGCTCTCCCGGGCCACCTACCAGCCCGGGAGAGTCGGTGTGCTTCTGACATCGGGGGGGGGGGGGGGGGTCAGCACCGCGGCTCGCTGGCAGCCGGGGGCGGCCGTCCCTCCCCGTCAGCAGCCCCTACCCCGGCCGCCCATCCCGGGACAGGCCCTGCTAAACTGCAACCGCCGACCGCGCGGTGCGCAGCCCTAGGTCCCAGGGACCCGAGACCCCGCCGCCCAGCTCCGGCTCGGGCACTACCGGTCAGGCCGAGGTGGAAAGGCCGCGAGGGGCGCGAGAGGCCGGCCAGGGCTCCCGTAGACCCTGAATAAAATGGGGCCGGGCCGGGCCGTACCTGTCGCGCCGGGACCCGCCGCTCCGAGTGACGCGCCACCCGGTGCATTGTGGGGCCGGGAGTGGCCTTTCCAGCGGGGTTGCCCCTGTCCAACGTGGCTGGCGCGGGCGGAGCTCGCGCGGGCCAATCAGGTTCCGTGGGAAACACCCAGCGACCCGCCCCCTCCCCGAGGCCCGCCCTGTCCCCGCCCCCTCCGGCGGAGATTGGCAGGTTCCCAGGCACCTGCGCCGGGAGACTGCCTTCTCTCCCGAGAGCAGAGTTATGCTGTCCCCGCAGAAACGAGGCTAATGTCCCTAACCTGCCGCTTTGTGTCTGGAAGCAGTTCGTCGTCTCAGGCGCCGCTCGGAGCAGAGGAAAGCCCTCTCTGGTGAACAGGGAAAGGATCTTCTCCCGTCGGCCAATACACAAAGAAACTTAACCAAGACAGAAATGCCGGATGCTGGCCCCGGCAGTGCCTCCCAGCCCTCACGAGGTTGTGTGTTATTTCACAGGCATATCTGACTGCGTATTAAGAGGCAGGCAGCATATTAAGCGTGTTTTACAGGGACGTGCGCAGCGCTACATTGAAGGTGTAATAGGAATAAGAGGCATTAGAGCAAAAGTGTTAACGGAAATATGCGTTGCGATTGGTGCTGTGAAGAAAAAAAACTAACAGGTACAGTGATGAATTCATTGTGGACCGTCAGGGACGAACTCCCTGAAAAGGTGTCATTTAAGGTCAAGACATATTAAGAGAGCTTTCAGAATGTTCCAGGCTCTGGAGACATGATTTGTGAGAATTTAAGTTGTACTGGGAACATTTGCTGGTTGGTTTCTGTCAAATCGATACAAACCTTGATGTAGCTGGAAGACGGAATCAGAATTGAGAAAATGACTCCATATAATTGACCTGTGGGCAAGTCTGTGGGATATTGCCTTGACTGATGATTGCTATAAGAGGGCCCAGCCCATAGTGGGCAGTGTCACCCCAGGGCAGGTGGTCCTAGGTTTGTAGAAGAAAGCAAGCTGAGCAAGCCATGGGGAGCAAGCCAGGAAGCAGCACTCCTCCAAGACTCCTCCGCTTCAGTTCCTGCCTCCAGATTTCTGCCTTGAGGTCCTGACCTTACTTTATTTCATAGATGAAATAAATCCTTCCCACCTCAAGTTGCTTTTGGTCACCATCTCATCAACAGAAATCCTAAAACAAAGAGTACGTAGGAGCAAGAAGTTTAGGCTGATATAGGCAAAGGCTAAACTCTCTTTGGCTACTTTACACAGTTCAGAGAATAATCGGCAACATACCCTAACTAAGGTCAATGAGGGGCTAAGAAAGACTCTTAAGTAGGATGTGATCTGCATATTTTAAAACTCATTTTGCTGTTTGTGGATAATGGATTGGTAGAGGGCGTGAAGGGTCACTGATGGGCCAGTTTAGAGGCCGTGTATTGGTCAAGGCCACAAATGGCGGTGGCTTGAACGAAGATAATGGCAGTGGAGGCAGAAAGAGGTGGATAGTTTCAAGATATGAATGAATCATAGGTGGAATTCATGAGACCTGATGGACTGATTTTTCTGGAGCAGGTCAAAAAAAGAGGATTATTAAAGATGGCTCCTTAGGTAACGAGATGGGTTAAAGAGCCATTTATATTCACAAAGGGTAGCAAATGTGTGGGGCTATTTAAATTTGAGAGACCTATGAGTGGGAATGTCAAGAAGCAGTTTTGGATAAGTATGCCTCGGGCTCAGAGGGAAGATCTGTACTAATTAATATTTAATTAATTATTATTAATAATATAATATTTGGCAGTTCTTAGTATGAGTTAACATAGTATCCCAACATATTCACGTGTATTAAAATGTCTGTAGAATGACTGCATGCTGGACTGTTCACATAGTGTAAGGAAAAAGAGCGAGCAAGCCACAACTACATACAAATCACTAGAAGACTGAAATGAGCCAGACACAAAGACTCATGTTACCTGACCCCACTTATATGATATCAAAAAACTATGTAGTTATCGAAGGCAGGATGTTGGTTACCCGTGTGTGGTATTAATATTTGAGATGGAAAATTAATGTTATTCTTGATCTGGACACTGGTTGTTTCTATGTGACCAATTAACAAAACTTCCTTCAGCTCTGTGCTTGTGAATTGATGGTATATGAAATTTATCTCTTTAAAGTGGTAAGGGCAATTCAGACGCACATATTTCACTATTTCGGGCTAAAGTCTCCTTGCGTGATCAAAAGGAAACAAAACCTTTTTGAGAGAAGTTGAGAAACAAATGCTTGCAGGCACTTTCCAATTCCAACATAGTCACGTTGTGTGGTGAAGAAGCCAACAGGTTGAACCAATGGATTTCCCCAGCTTGCTTTCTGGGGATAATTATGGACGCTCAGACTAGAAGGATGCCAAGCAGAGTTACAGCCCCGTGGTAAGGAGGACATGAACATTAGAATTAACAGAGCTTTTAATTTGAGAGCAGAATACCAGAGAAAGAGTTGTAGACGTATACATGAAGGTTCCCTTGGACCTTCTTATGGGCTTAAGGAGAGACTCTAAGACTGGCAAACAACAGCTACTGGGAAATTTAAACTGAAACAACTACTAGCATTTCAAAGGACTTTGGGAACATTCAAGTTCTGACTAATTAGGCCAGAAAAAAAAAAAAAAAACCTTAGAAACCTAGGCCATTTGGTAGAGATCCGTAAACATGCAACGCTTTGGAAATAAGGCTAAATTACCACAAGCAATATTGAAAAGCAGCTCTTCTGTAGGGAATGGCGAGGTAAGCCTTTTGGGGGCCCATAGAGAACGGTGAGTGAAGCGTCAGCGACTCCTACGGCTCCTTGAACGAGCCTGATCCACCACACACAGCAGCGTTGCTCCACTAAGGACCCCTAGCACAAGTCTCAAGGTCTCAAAATGGATCCCAGGCTAGGGCAGTGACTGCTTCCTCCCTCTTTACGGAAGTCTTCTAAGATGACCATGGCCCCCACATTTCCTGATAGTTGCACCAACTTAATTATTATTGGGGCTTGAGGTTAGCATGGGATGGTCTGATTGGACTTTCAGTCGTTTAAAGGTTTTTACACTGGACAATAAAGTTAGATCATGTGCGTTGAGTCTGGTCTCCGGAGTCTGATTTCCGGGATTCTGCGTGGGCCCCGTCGTCATTCACCCTCGATTCCTCAGTTCCTTATCCCCACACTCCTCAAGTGATTTAAGTACTTGGCTATAGAATTTAAGTCTTAAAAGAAAGAACAGGACTGGAGGGGCGGCCCTAGGTTTGGGTTCCCAGCACCCACGTAGTAGTTCATAACCATCTGTAACTCCAGTTCTAGAGGATCCAACACCCTTTTCTGGCCTCCCTGGTGCCCAAGCATACATACAGACAAAACGCTGCACGCTTAAAAGAATGAGAATACATCTTTCTTCAAACAAGAAAATTCAAGCCCCTGGTAATGTGCAGATGTGTGGACAAAGGGATATACTGTGGGACACACGGTGACACACCACAGCTTCCACGACGAAATGTTTTCTGTGCTTCCAGGGAGTTTGTTGTTGTTTGTGTGTCTGCTTATTTGTGTGTGTGTTTTATTTTGGGGGGCTTGAAACGGTGAAGGGTGGATATGAGGAGACCGGAAGATGAGCAGGACTGGGTGTATGATGTGCAACTCACAAGGAATCAATAAAAAGTTATTAAGAATAGAAATCTTTTCATACGTGAAGTAAGCGGTGCTTCTCCGTGATCTTCAGAGACTTGTTTTTTTCCAGTTCCATATGCCTTCATGAGAAGGCAAAAAGGTCTTGCAGAAAGACCTGAAATTAACGTTGTGAGCCACTATGTGTTTGCTGGGAATTGAACTCAGGACCTCCAAAAGAACAGCAAGTGCTCTTAACCTCTGAGCCACCTCTCCACCCTGAAATTAGCATTGTTGGAAAGCTTTGGAATAGGAATCCAAAATTAGACTTCTAGTCTGAATTTAAATGGTCATAGAAGTTTTAGAGGATCTTAAAGTTATGTTGCAGTAGACTTGAGATATTTATGTTTCTAATAGACCCTAGGGGGGAAAAAAAAACAAACCAAAATTCAGAAATTCAACTCACAATGTCTAACATCCCAGGAAGAAGCAGAAAAGTGTTAAAGCATAAACAGGAGAAAAATCTGTTAAAAGAAAACAGAGATAAACATGATACAAGTAGATGATATTGGCTGTTAAAGCATTTAGTGACTTTGAAGCAGTGGCTATAAATGTGGCCAAGAATTTAAAGGAACATAAATATAATGAGAGAAGAATGCAAGAAACATCAATAAACATTTAGAGCCAAGAAAAGCAACATCTGAAATGAGGGTTTTTCTACGGCCACACCACCCTGAACGTGCCCTATCTCATCTGAAATGAAAGTTTTGCTTTTAAGTGGTTTAGGCACTGGCAAAAGTCAGAAAACAACAAAGGGAACAAGAAACACAGTCCAAAAAAATTGTCTCTGTTACCACACAGAGAGGTGTGGAGAGGTGGGTTAGCCAGTATAGGCTCTTGCTGTGAAAGCTTGATTACAAGAGTTAGTTCCTTAGAACCCATGCAAAAATGGTAGTTGAGAACTTACTCCATAGGTTGTCCTCTGATCTATGCACATACAAACACACATAACACTGTGGCACATGTGCAACACACACACACCATGAACAA